GACTTCCTGTGTCAGCAAAGACTGAAACATCTTTCATTTCTGGATCCCTGTAATCTGTTCTTAGGCGAGGACCTTTCATAAGAGTGATCAAGGGAACTAGACAGGATGCTAGCCTGTGAACACAAGCTCTTTGTCCGGCGCTCAAAGAATGGCTGGCTAATAAGGAAGCTGGCAAAAAGCGAGGTACAGTCAGGTTACACAGGATACAAGAAACACGATTTAAGAACAGTGGACGACCTACGGAGAGTAAATTAGTATGGGTTAGTACTTGGGAATCAACCATAATTTCTACATCCTGTAACTATCCTTTCATTGTGAACCGCACCGTGTATCACGTACTGCACATGTAAAGGCAGAGCGGAGGAACGGAGCGGAGATAAAGCGTTCACGGATAGATTCCAGGCTACCAAAAAGACTGCTGCCTCAAACTTCCGAGTAATCCTTTCAAACAAGAAAAAACTGCAGCTTCAAAGTTCCGGATATGCCTTTCAAGCAAGAAAAGAAAAAAAAAGAAGCTTCAAACTTTCGAATATGCCTTTGAAAAAAGAGAAGAAAAAAGGCTGCATCTCCCAACGTCCGGACATGCAGAAAAAAAGATGGCATCAAACGTCCGAATGTGCCTTTCAAGCTAGCAAGTCACCCACTAGAAATATAATTGAACATGGTATCTTTTGTACTAGTTATAATCCAGCCTTAGGCTTCGCAACCGGGAGCTTCTCATTAGTAAGGTCAGGACAATTAAAAGATAACCAACCCAGCTGAGTTTCTTCATGTTACTAATGAGAAGACCCCTGCCCAAGGGTGATTTTTTTTGTCTTTTGGAAACCTCTGAAAAACCAGGAACTGTGGCGGGACTGAAGTATTGTTTGTGACAATATCATAGTTCAAAGAAGGGATCTACAGTTACTGCTATGATACCCAGCCACCCTGTCAGATAGAGTCTAGTGGGGAAGGCGTGAAACTGTCTTTGTACATTTCAGTCTGTTGTACAGAAAACCAAATGTGGCAACTGGAAAGGGGGCAATGAACTGAACCGCATCATTCTTGGTAAAACCTGGCGTTAACTGAATGAACGTTGATCCAGTTTCTTTACCAGGAATTAGGACTGCTTGAAGAAATGAACATTGGTGCTGAAAGCAATTCAAGGATTGAAATGATGAGTGAACAGAAATGGTAGAAGAACAATGATGATACAATTTTCTCACTTAAGACTGTGCAGCATACAATGTATATCAAAGATGTTCCATAACCTATATCAAAGAGCTCCATGACCTCATAACTTTGCCAAATAATGGTAACCATTAGGGCAGATGAATTATAAATGTTTATAACTGATTATGCAAATAAGCTCCTCATTTGCATGAATTATATCAACTGATCATATACTCCACCCAAGGACAATCTTATCTTAAATGCAGTTTTTAGGGCTTGTAAGCCTTATTTTTTCAAAGTCAATTTTCTAGTCATTTATCTACATACAGAGTTGAAACCACACCATCCCAATGGACCCTCTTGGAGCAAAATACCCAAAATTCTGACGGTAAATGGTCACTGCATGGAGGTAGAAAAATTCTCTCTTTTACCTCCATGGTCACTGGAAGGGCCCTGGGCTGATTTTTAGGGTACCACCCATGAAATAAAGGACTCCATCTTGGGGCTTGTTTCTGCAGTTTTAAATGTCCAAAGTATGAAAAACTGATTGAAATGTGCTAATATGAAGCAGTATGTGTCAATATCACAAAGATTGCCTAAAACAAAATATTTCCAGTTGTGATGCTCTGAAATCACATTGGATGTCTTTAACAACAATAAAGCTATTCTATTATAGACTAGCATTTCCTCATCAATCATTCAAAAGAACCAGCCATCATGCACTTGAGGTCCTGATTTGAATACATTATGTCTTATGATGTTCACATTCACTTATAAAGGCGGACACAAGAGCAGAGGCCACTATTATTATCTATAAAAAAATTTATAGATGCAAAATCAACCAAATTTGTAGAATTTGGTTACTGACAGGGAATAGAATTGTTCATAATCCAGTAACTGTGCAGTGCCCCTCCATGCAGACCCATGTGTAAGTAATGATTGGAATTATGCCAACCTTAGGCCACAGGAAGTAAATTTTATAGATGATATCCTCCGCAGACTACAAATCTAATGTGAGCGGGCAAAAAAAACACAAGGTGGGCAAAAAAAAAGACCCCTACATTGTTAAATTTTGACATCATGAAACATGGTTAACAAGAAATGATACTTATGTTGTGCTAAGTTTACTGCCAACTTTTACAACATTGAAACAAATTTGAAAAATAAAAGTTTTCAATGAATCATTGTACAAATGTTTTCGATTCAGTGGGAACATATAAAAGGAACGAAATCACTGCATCAAAGTAAAAGACAAAACTTTAAATCAGAGCCTTGTCTTGTCTTCTCTCTTCATATTTATCTGCCATCCACGTTTCGGCATGTTGCTCATTTTTGACATGTTGACCACTGTCAGAGAGCAACAAGATTTCTTCTTTTTCCCCCCAAAACCAGACAAAAATCAATGAGCACGCTGATGTCAACCATAAGAATTACTTGCTGTGGCCTTACATCCAATGGGATAAGATCCAGGTCAATCTGGGCTCAAAGCAAGAGGAAAATTTAGATGTTAAGCCGGGAAATTGATGATCAACTTTCCACTCACACATTACAAACCTTATTTTTCAAGATCACTCCTAGATTCTGTAACAGCGCCCACTTTTTTGGAGGGCACCATTTAAATCTTAAGTATGGGATTCGATGGGATGACTACTCCAGATCAAAGTCACTTTTTTGACAATTTATAATGGAAACCAAAGTTTCTAAGGTTATGAACTGACAAACTGGTATCCAGAAACATACTGCAAATGAAAACTATTTTCAAGATCAACCCAAGACTTCTTTAGACCTGCTGCTTTGAAGTTTTAGCCATCCTTCGTAGTTTTTCCCCACTCCCTAATGTCGTTGGGCCATCCTCTATAGTTTTCGCCCACTCGCTACATTTGTAGGAAGGTGGCCCAGCGACGTTAGGGAGCAGGCGAAAACTACGGATGGCATCAAGGCTATTGAAGTTTGTCTCAGTTGTTTGCAAACTGATATGTCTCACTTGGCTGTATTTGATCTGGAATGTACCTGGGGGTTACCACATGCTGTAAAACAAAACTGCTTCATAGTTCAAAGTCAGAGTCAAGTTGGCATCTGAGTTCACTTGAGGCAATTTACATGATGAAAATGAAACTCTTCTCCAACTCGAAGAAATTGACTTCCGGAATGTTTGACTGAAGCTTTCCGTCTTCATTAGCTTTCTGACCCAATAAAATTCTGTTGAGTCAATTTCTTTGAGTTGGAGAACAGTTTCATTTTCATTATCAATGTGAACTTGCCAATAAAATTATACTTTTGGGGATTCAGAATAAGTACATGTATCTACAGAACTAGAACAATTGCTTTTGCTCTCGAGTCTGCCTTAAACTTTCAAATGCCGCAAGTTGTGAACTTCCCGTCAGGTACCACCATGGAATTATAGCTTTTTTTCATTGATTATGAAAATTGGGTCTTTATTTGCGTAATTAATGCCTGTTGTTGTTCATCATCTTGTTCTTAATTACATATCACAAGTTAAGATACATGTAGTCCTGTCATGGAATGCAACAGATTTATAGAATTTCATAATTCTTATCAAGTTATTAACCTTCTTAGGTAATAAGAATGTATGAAGCTCAAACCTTCATTATGGAAGCGTGCTCTTATGGCTGTGATACAGACTGAAAAATATATTAATGTGTTATAATATTTGGAAACATAAACCATCATGTTAGAAAATGAATATGGAAAGGCTTGACAAAGAAGCATGAGTGTACAAATGTACATGTATGGCTGTGAATGGTGATCATCATTTAGAACAACAGATCTATCTTAAAAAGACAGATGATGATCAGAAATAGAACTGAAATAAGCAATGAAAAGATAGAACTCAACGATAATTAAAAATCTACCATTGAAAAAAGCTGTCATTTAAAGCAAGAGGATTCTATTGACAGCTCAATGAAAGACAACAAGACTAAAACTGAGTAAAAGAAGCTTCACAGCATTTATTTCAGAATTACATATTGACAACGGAGTCTCTATATGGGGAGCAAAGTCTCATGATTACATTATAAACTGCACTGCCAATATTTGTTACTGCCTTTTTGGCTTTTACTGGATACGTTTTTCCTGCTTCTCTTGTAAAAATGGAAATATATCAATAGATTGAAAAAAATAAAAACATGGTAAAGGTTTCATTAAAATAACTAAAGACAATTACTACTTTTATAGAAACCCCTTCAATTAAACAACAACAACTGTAAGATCTACAATAACAATGAAGTGAACAGAAGGACTTTAAATTGAGATGATAATTCAATTTGTAACGGTAAATCAAAGATCAAAAGAAGACTATTAAAAAGTGTTAAAAATAATTTACACCATCTTAACAACTTTACATACCCTAAAAACATGTATCTGCATTCTTTTGAAAATACTGCACATTGCATTTCGAAAGGTGGAGATATAAATTCTTGCCAAAACAACACCATCCTATCAACAGAGACAATTGGTTTTGAAGTACAGCTTTTTTACTACTTGTGATTTTCATTTCTAACTGTGGTTTGGTAGATAACTAACATAGCACAAAATAACCAATGAAAATGCTGACTTTTAAACATGGACTATTTCAAACTGCTGAGAACAACGGCGGCCATGGGTTTAAAGTTAAAACTTTTGATACAACACAATAAAGTTCTCTCACCTAGAGCTTTCGACCAGTCACTCTGGTCTTCCTCAGTAGACTGACCCAGTGAGGCTTGTCACATGACTTCTTTGATCATCAGGGCCCATCACCATTCACTCAACCGTGATGGGGGCCGACATCGTCTACCAGATAAGTTTGACCCAGTGTTGACATAACACTTCAAAGAAGTCATGTGACAAGCCTCACTGGGTCAGTCTACCAAGGAAGACCGAAGTGACTGGTCGAAAAAGCTCTAGGTGAGAGAACTTTATTGTGTTGGTTCGAAAGTTTTGATTTAAACATGTCACTACCAACACAGATGAACTTTCATGATAGTAATGGCGGCCCTGCTTTACGTGGTGTCCCTGAGCGCGTACATGACGTCGTCCTGACTGACGTTGAGGCGGACACGTTGGCTCAAGTCGCTCTTCCCAGCCTCCACCAGCAGCAGCCGGCTGGCCCCCAGCGTGGAGCAGACACCTGACAGCTGCGACATGGTCGGGACAGTCACACCTGCAACAGGTGGGAGGGGGGCAGGTTAGTACCGGTATTTATGTTTCCCGAAGGAAAACATATCGTTTTGCTCAGTTTCTTCCTTTTCTTCTGATTCCGTTCCCAACATATAAGGTCCATGACTAAGACCAGAGGTCTGTCATCATGGTAACTATTGTTGTGTTACATCATGTTGCAATTTTACAGCAGGAGGGATTTAGACTCCTGTCTGACCATATATATATGAATGGGTTTGAGTAAGAATTAACAGAGCAGACCATATGCAAAGGTAAACATTAAGCATTTGCTTTGCAAATGTTACCTTTCTAGTTAAATTCTTTCTAGTTAAAAACATTTCTAAGATCTTGGACATTTTAAGTTTTCACTATAGCAAGTGGACATCATAAAATCAGTGGGCTAGGAAGAACTTGAATATCACTGTATTTATGACATAAAATTGGCATCAAGCTGATCCTCAGATGTTGTCTTCTTTTAGATTTTTCCATATTTCAAAAAAATATCAATTTCAAAAAATGTCAAAGAACCAACAAATTAAATTGGTGTGGCCTTCTTTGCATCAGGGCAAGGGCCAATATCAAAAACAACACAGACAAAATACATTAGATAAAGAAATACTCGTACTCCATTACATCAAGTCATGCAAAAGTATTCTGGTGGAAGGATAGAGGGGCAGTGGCATAGCCGATGGAGTAGGCTACGTGTTTTTCTGTAATCATTCCTTATACATCATTAGCAACACTAGAGAACAGGGCAGTGACCGTTATGTACCCAGAGCAAGACCCTATCTTCACATTTGAATATCCGTCTATTCCTAATTGCCTTTCCCACTGACAGTAAAGGTCTGTTAGGGTGACTGTATGATAGACGAGAGCCTCTGGGGTGTCGTTTTGCATCAAGGAACTCTTTCAGCAGTTGACTTGTAATATAAAAGAAGTAGTCAGAAACTGGAGAGAGTTGCTGCTTTGATCCGTAACTGGCCCCACAGCTCCCCTTGTATACGCACCTAATTCTGTCTAATAAATCCCTCCTGTATTTCTCAATGACTTGTGTAGAGACGAGAGAGTCCCTGAAAACCATTAACACTACCATCAACATGGTCTAATGAATCTAATTGGGAAACTTCTGTCCACTTCACTGACCAGTTATAGTTCTATGTTTCACATGCTGTAAATTACTTTATATTTGTGGTAGCAAACTTTTGCTGAGAAAAATTGACGGTGGCGGCAAATGAAGAAGAAAGAAAGTCGGCAAATTATTTGTTTGCGGTTTATGATAAATTTGCTGTACAGAAGTGGCCGCGAAAACCGTGGATATAAAAGTACAGCGAATATCAAGTGCATAAATTGGTCCTAGTCCTTGATTTGGCCCCCTCATTTTTTCTGATTTGCAAAAAAAAAAATCAGGTTCTGAAGGTTATGTCAAATAAATTCCATGTGATGGAAAAAAAAATTAAGGTTGGCTAGAATACTGCTCTGTCATCTCGGGACAACCCACGGTCTTCTTCTGACAAGAACATTCTTCACACACACCCACTGTCTGTCAGGATGATGGAATAGCCATAGAGGTTGTCCATATATTTTGACTTCAGATTTCCTCCAAACCCAGAATGAGACAAGGGGGGAAATCCTGCTGTGGACAAGCAATTGCCTTACCAATCATTTACCTCGGGCCTAGGAAAAAAAACGTCATGTTTCCTGTTTCCCGACCGACCCTAGAAAAACCTGCCGACCCTAGTCTTTTTTTGGAGGGGACCCCTGCAAGGTACATAAAGTGTTCGAGCTGATCGACCTTTTCTAGCTCCATGATCTGACATGTGAGTGATGAAACGTTGTACAATCAATTTTCCAACATTGACATTGAAAACATTAGTGTCCTCATGCAAGTTTTACTTTGTTAAACTGTATATGGTATAAGTTTGATCACTAGAGTCGAGATTGCCAAAGTCTTATAAACAAAGAAACAAAAAAAATGATCCCTACTTACCGACCCTAATTTTTTCAGGACTCAAACAGGAAACAGAACATTATTTCCCAAGGCCTCAGAAGGTAGGCAGTCTACATGCAACACCACTTACCATGGCAAAGGTAACTTAGAGGCAAACGCCATTTGCAATAATAGTTACCATTCCAAAACTACGTCATGCACATCTAACAAACTAAAAGGTCAAGGAACAAGGAGACAAAGCAGTTACTGCTTGGGGCATACATTTGTATTTCCAAACCTGGGCCCAGACAGTCTGTTTGCATGAATGAAAAACAAGTTATATCGGCAATACACACAAATAATACTCATGATTAGTATTTTTTAATTTGGGGGGGGTGTTGTGTTTTATATCATACTTTTCACTCCCAGAAACTGCCTAGCCAGATCCTTGATTGGAAACTGTGTCCTTAGCATTACAAGGGATCAAATTAGGGCAACATGTAAGAGAGTAAAAATGCTCTAATGACCACTTTAAAAGCTGCTTTAACATTGCAAACTAGGTATTTCTAATTAGGTCAAGAGACAAAATCATGGGGTTACACAAAGCCTAACATCTTGGCATGTACAATCCCCATTCCCATTGAAACTCAATATACTCGACTTTCAACTCTGTCAAATCTAAAAGCTAAATGTCCCTCACTGCAGGAATTGTGAGATTGCAGTCTGTGCGTGGGCCCTTCTGACATAATTCATACAATTTAGCAGAACATTGATGCATACCCTTTATGAGATGGTAATTAAAGAGGAATGGGGCTAAAAGGAAGGCCCCCGCATCAATTAAGATCAAGGTTTGTGTAGTCTGTGGGTGGCCCATTCACACAGAGAAAATCACTACAATTAAGTACTTACAACACTAAGTTGCCTCACCTTAATGGGGTGGCAATCAAAGCTGACTGAGGCAAAATATTAAACATACAAAAAATTACACGACTGTCTCATCTATCACAGTACGAAATTTGTACATCGTAATTCTTTTCTCCGTAAGGGGTTGGCAGCTCTTTCATTACATGTACAAAGTCACACGGTTTCTAGTTGCTTTTAGTGACAAACTGTCATCGCCTTTGCTGTACTCCCAGATGTAGTTGAACTTGGACCTACTAAGTATACATGTGGGTGGAGAGGATGGAGAACATTCGTGCATATTGCTTGGAGGGCAGATGCACATGAACTCGAACACAATATATAGGGCTAATCACATGTACAACGTATGTGCAGTTGAGCATGTAACAAACCTCTATGCCCCAGGGCATTTCCACTGCACAGTATTTTGATTTGGACTTGTCTCTTAGTTAACTTTTGATGTCCCTATTGGAGGAGGAACCTGTCAAACTGTGTGCTCTCTATGACCCAGTTTTTGGCAGATACAGACGAGGATGGCAGCCCAGTAGCCTACTGCTTAGGCCTAGGAAAAACAAGGTTGTGTTTCCTGTTTCCCGACCGACCCTAGAAAAATCTGCCGAACCTAATGTTTTTGTGGATACCTGCAAGGAACATGAATTTTTCAAGCTGATCAACATTTTCTAACCCCATGATCTGACACCTGAGTGATTAAACATTGTACAATCAGTTTTCCAACATTGACATTGAAACAGAAGTGTGCTCATGCAAGTTTTTTTAAACTGTTGGATCACTAGAGATCGCCAAAGTCTAAAAAAAAGAAGAAAAAAAAAAGATAATCCCTACCTACCGACCATTTCAGGACGGAAACAGGAAAAACAACATTTTTTTCCTAGGCCTTATTTACAGTCACATCCAACATCTCCTGAGAGATGACAATAATCAACTCCCAGGAAAACAGATCTCTGACCTTGCTAACAACAGGGGGAAATGAAGGAAACTCGCAGTTGCCTGCGCAGCAGTTGACTGATGATGATGATGAGGATTTGTCAGTAAGCACTAAAATCTTGACTGACAGAGAAACTGTTGTTGATGCAGAAATGCATGTGTCGTTTGTAAAAAGTTCAAATGTAAGTACAACATATATGTGAAAGTTTTAAAAGTAAAGGGATAGATGAACTCACCATCGAGCCTACACAGACATTCATGCTGCTGGGAAACCTATTTAAGAAACAGGAAAATATGTCAGACAAAACAGCAGTCAATACACAAGATCAAAGGCTTTACTGTGATTGCAATATAATACATGGTATTTACTCTTTCAAGTTACCTGCATGCAGAGACAAGATTCTAATAAAGACTGCTCATTGCATTTTTGATGTGTCATCAAATGTTATTAGCAAGAATGTAGAGCTTGTACAATTAATTGCAATTAATGACACAGCATATCTATTTTAAATTGCAGTGTTTTTACACTGAGGGCGAATTGTGTGTGATCTCAGTTTCAACTTGAGATACCTTCAAGTGTACTAGTAACTTCTGGGCTTGGAAGACTTTTTTTCTGTTACCTGCGTCATTGCAAAATCTCAAAAACCTTTATCTACAATTCAGGACACCTTTCTGCAAATACCAAGCCACTTTCCCTGGCCTTTGATGGCCTTTGCCAACAAAATGACCCTTTTCTATCTTCTTGCGTAGCTGAAGTTGAAGAAGATACTAACAATCCAGACATGCGTATGCTGCTGCGTAGCTAAGTAGTTGTTAATAATGCCAAATCTGACGTTTTCTAGAATGCAAAAATGACTACCTCTTCACATTCTTACCTACAATCTGAATTTATTTTGAAAATTGCAGGTAGGTATAAGAGGTATTTCAAGCCTCTTGAATATAATTACCTGTAGAAAAGTGGCCTCTTCCAGTCCAGATCGGCGGAACTCTGCGACGACAGCCTTGAGAAATAACTGCTCTTGAAGTGATGCATTTCTGTGTCAGGAACAGGAAACTGTTCTAATTCTGCATGATAGAGCACGCCGGGGCTACACTAATACCAGTGATTGGTTATCGCAATTCAGGCAGAATCAAGCAACAAGAACATGTATCATACAAACGTCACATCCTAGCCATGCACTGCCGACACTGTAGAGCAATATTTCATGACCGAAGAGACAATTGGGTGACAAAAAATCAGGAGATAATAAAAAACTGACTCTAGACAAGAACAGCACAAGCTTCCAGGCACCTGTGACCCTATATGGAGTTGACCTTTTTCAAAGGTCACGTGGGACTTGAAACTTATCTTCAGTGAAACTGGAAAAAGTCAGAAAGTGTTGCTTACGTAAAAGGTGTACGAAATTCTGGCACCATAATTTGTATTCTTTCTTTGTCATGTTGGCGACTTGACCAGTCAGATGTGGTAAAGTAGACACCTAAAGCCTGTGCATCAAAGCATCCCTACAATTCTGTCTTGTTCATTCAAAATGCAATCCATATATTGCTGGCAAAAAACACCCTAGAAAATTATTTCTCCCTTCCTTTAGGCCACCAATTTAATCAAGTCTTTATTGGATTTGCCCACTTCATTTTTTCTGATTCATAAAAAAAATAATTGTGTTTTGAATTAACTCTAAAATACATTTTGGCCTTTCTATTGTCCAGTTGTCTTCCTATTCCTAAAATTGTTACTATTTTTCGATCTATCAATGCAGTGGTTTGAATATTATTTCAAAATTCACTGACTATGTTTGCCTGGTATGTTGGTATGACTCATGAATATCATAGCAACTGGGACTATGCCTGTTTTAATTTTTGCCCTTTTACTTCATATTTTTTCTGAAAAAATCCAGAACAAATGAACTATATTGGTAAAAAAATCAAAGCTTTAAAAGTTCTCCACCTTATGGCCATAATCTTGGGAGAAGAGAACATCTCCTGTACTGCAGTGTCCACGTGACTCATGTTCACCAGGGCTGCTGTCTTCCGGCCTGGCGTCTTGGCCAGCTCGGCCAGCTCTGTGGCACGTCGACAGATGTCCAACGCTCTCCTGGCATCGCCAGACACGGCGGCAACCTACAGAATAATTGTAAGGCTGTGAATTCTGGCACTGGCAGAACTCTAAGGTTGTGAACTCTGCCACTGGCTGAGCGAACAGACCACATGTATCTCTGATAAAAAATTTAAAATAGCACATCTTGATACCTCTTTCACATAACAAATTGGTAATGTAATTCACTTCATGTTCACGGTAGCGAAAGTTCACGGTCTGAGAAAAATGGAGGTGTCCTCGGAACTATATTTCACTGTGGCAGCAGGTGCAGAAAAAAGAAAGTTGGCAATTGATTTGTTAGCAGTAATGATAAGTTTGCGGTACAGAAGTTACCATAAAAACCATGAACATAAAAGTACAGAGAAAAACTCTGGAATTACAGTACCTAAAAAAAGAAAGTTCAACATTTAAAATATCGTTGATGTACACCATTGCATGTGACTGCAAACAAGTTACTGAATAAAGATATTCTATACCTGAATCATACATCAAGACATAGTTATACGGAGACAGATTGGACATAAAGATGGAATATATCGTTCATACACAATAATGAGGATTTGATGTATCTTCCTAAGCATGCTAAAGCATAATTAATTAGTAGAAAATGCAAAGGATCAGTCTTTTTTCTGTCAAGAGAGAAACTAGACTTGTTCCACTATAAAATATAGACATCCTGTATGAGTCTATTATTGTCGCATGCAACAGAGAAAGCAAGAACTAATTTCAACAAATCTCCATCAGATTCTCAAGTTACTTTTTCTCAAACACTACTCAGAATCTCAGCAGGAGACTCCAGGAATTTTGCACCTGCTTCCACTTTAATTATCTTCCCAATTTTTCAAGATCAAGATTGTTTTATTACAAAACCTTGAACCTTTCAAATACGTGACCCCTTGCTACATCTACCAGTTGAATTTATTAATATTTCAAGTTTTAATTTGTCTCGGAACTGTTTTATTATCAATTCATGACCAGTTGACTGTGCTTTAAGTCCACAGCGTACCTTTCTAGCAGCAAGTTGGATGGCGTCGTCTTCAAAGGCCTGCAGTCCTTTCATGCGTGACATGACGATTTCTTGTAACTGTCGGAACGTGTAGGGCTGGAATGTCATCCGCGTGAGCCCCTATATGTGATTAGCCCCAGGCAATAAAAGATAGTGTCAGCTGGAGTGTGGATGTCACATTTATAATGATCGTCTGTGAGGAACCATCATGACAACTTAATCTCGTTAAAGCATACAGGGGAATCTGCATAACCAGTTGTGACCGTACTTATCTTTTAAGTGATGGAAGACCCACTTGTGATGACATAAGACACACCACGGCACTGGCTATTAGGCATACTGTCGCATGCATTGTACAATAAGATCAGTATCATACTTTCAAACCATGAAACTTAAGTTATGAGATAGAAAGCAATGTGAAAATTACTTTGGCAAGACTCTATAACTGCATTATTTTCATTCTTTGAAAACAGGAATATTTATGACTTTGTCTTTGCTGCCTTGAGCTTGTAGTGTTGTAGTAATGGAAAGTTACAAATTCCCGATGCTCTGAAAACACAGATGTGACAACGTCTAGCCAATTGGAGTGGATGCATCTGACTGAGAACACTGTCTGTACTGTCTGGTAGAACCTGATAAAGGGTTTGGTGTCATTGAAATTTGAATAATACGAAAGTTTAGTCACAAGATTAGAGAGCAAGGTAAAAATGTACTTTGGCAAGACTTCATACCTGCATCATTTTCTTTTGTAGGAAAAAGGAATATATTTAAGATTTTGGTTTTGATGTCTTGTGCTTGCAGCAATGGACTTTTGAATCATAAAACTTTAGTCACAAGAATAGAAAGCAAGGTACTTTGGCAAGACTTCATACCTACATCATTTTCATCTGTAGAAAGGGGAATATTTGAAGATTTTGTCTTTGCTGCCTTAAGCTTGTAGTAATGGACTTTTGAATTATGCAACTTTAGTCACAGGATTAGGAAGTACTCCATACCTGCATCATTTTGTAGGTAAAGGGAATAAGTTTTTGTCTTTGCTGTCTTGAGCTTGCGGTAAAGGACTTTTGCATTTAGTTTATGAAACTTTAGTCACGAGATTAGAAAGCAAGGTAAAAATGTACTTTGGCACGACTCTATGCCTACATCATTTCCATTTGTAGGAAAAAGGAATATATTTCAAGATTTTGTCTTTGCTGACTTGAGCTTGTAGAAATGGACTTTCGAATTATGAAACTTTAGTCACGAGATTAGGAAGCAAGGTAAAATGTACTTTGGCAAGACTTCATAATCATATACTATTAGCTGCATCATTTCCATTTGTTGGAAAAAGGAACATATTTGAAGATTTTGTCTTTGCTGCCTTGAGCTTGCAGTGATGGACTTTTGAATCCTGAAACTTTCAAATTAGTCACAAGAAGCAAGGCAAACATGTACTTTGGCAAAACTTCATACCTGCATCATTTCCATTTTGTAAAAAATAGGAATATTACTATAATTGTAAGATTTTGTCTTTGCAGCCTTGAACTTGTAGTAATGGACTTTCAAATCCTGAAAATTTAGTCATGACATAAAGATGCAAGGTAAAAACGTACAATGGAAAGACTCCATACCTG